CGCATTTAGGAAGCTAGGTAGTTGAAATGTGGGGAGTTTGTAATTTGAACCAGAATGATAGGATTTAGTTAGCAACAACGGTAACCCTAGAAAAGTTGATAATACTATCAAAAATATATCCGTAGATAGGAGGTACTACGATTGCATTTAACAAATGGACTATGCAATAAATTGGAACTATTAATGAAGGTTGTTGACTGCGACATACACAAAAAACAGTCGAGAGGCGCTTAGCAACTATACAATACACTCAGTCAAATCATATGTTAAATCACAGAGATATATTTTTAATATTACCTTAATATCACATTTTCAGTCTTTATAAAAATACTTCAGTAGTGTCGGAACCCCAATTGGAGGTGGTTTCGCAAAAACCTTTTAACATTAGGGTTTTACATCAATATGTACGATACTAAGTTGAAAATATAGTAGGTTAGTGACTACCCTAAACTATTCTTTCATTAGATTTTTGATCTTAAATCAAAACAATAAAGACGAAAATCTAATAAAGACAGAAAGGAGTAGGTTGAACTTGAACTTGGCCAGTATGCCTTATTTTAGTGTTCGAATCGTAGAGCCAGAAGTCTTATACAATCAGAGACATTAAGGAGAATATACAACGCCGACGCCGTGTCTGCATCATTGCAGTGTCATAAGTTATTCAACATGAAATGTATATGCACACATATTAGTTTCTCTAGAACATAGATGGCGAACCAAAAGCACGCATGCCATTAATGCCACGCAGTACAATATTTTGGGCACATTTATAACAGATTTTGTCTTAAGGCTGCCGGTCGTTATTTCCAGGGATAAATAGGAAGAAGAAAAATAAGAAGTCGTCTATTTTGATTGTTCAGTAACACTCAAAATAGACGACTTCTTATTTTTGTATGCTCCTAAACTTTTATTCTGTTCTACAAAAATATAAAAAAAATTGATGACACTTAAACTATCTCAAAAATTATTTCTTTTATAGAATGGCAAGTTGACACATAAGGATTTGCCATCTCTCTGCTCTAACATAATATATTATCTCGAATTCCTATTGTTTTGCTGACCCTATCTTTAACCGACTTCAAAAAAAGGAGGAGGTTCTCAATTCGACCGTATATATGTTTTTTATGTTTGTTCGCCGATATCTCCGTTATTTATGAACCGATTTCGATAATTCTTTTTTGTTGGAAAGGAGATAGTCCCAGAATGGTCCCATGATAAGGAAATCAGGATCTGATGATGGAAGACCAGTGACCCGAGGGGAACTTTTAAAAATTATAGGGGCGACTAGTGCATTTGGTAATTTGTTTCATTAAGTATTCAAAACCACTACAATCTTATAAAGGTCTGGAGTCGATCTGATGATGGAGCCAAAAGCCAGTCGAGGGAACTCCTCAACGGTTAACAGTAGCTTGTGTTTGGGTTTGATTAATTTGTATTGATGAGGACATTACACCTAGGTAGGATGTAATTATCAATAAGGGTCTGATGATGAAGTAGTAGGTACGATGGCTGAGGGAACTCCTTTACGGTTAACAGTAGCTATCTTATGTTTGGGTTTGATTAATTTGTATTGATGAGGAGTTTACACGCAGGTGGGGTGTAATTGACAATAAGAGTCTGATGATGACGTAGTACAATAGTTGAAGGAACTCCTCAACGGTTGCCAGTAGCTATGTTGTGTTTGGGTTTGATAATTTGTATTGATGAGGACTTTACACCTAGGTGGGATGTATTTGGTCTGATGATGAAGTAATACGACAGTTGAGGGAACTGTGACTGTGAACTGAATAAGTGTGGGAGAGCCATGCTTCGGCATAAATGGGCCGGCTCGACCGAAGTGATACCACGGCCTCACAGAAAACCGACGTGAAACATCGCGTTTGCGTTGTGTTTCGTCGTGTGAGTGAGGTTACCGGAGGCCCAATTACCCCCCTCCCTAGTCCCCGTCTCCCGAATCCCCGAATCATCCACAATCCTCAAGTTCCCAATTTCCAAAAGGTTGGTAATGCACTTGTAACGCCTTGGTGTTTCGAGTGTCCATTTTAGTTTTTACTTTTCGTTTGTCTTTAGTTTTTGAAGTCGGTTTATTTTAAACGCAGTTTTTTATTATATACAACCTTACATATTATAAACTGCAGGTTGAACAGTATGTACACGGTTTCCGCCCAAGGAGGCGTAAAAAATTAAATAAAAATAACTCTCGACGCAGACATGAAATTTTTGGTAAGTATAAAATTAACTGAAAAATTTACGTATATACGAGTTTTCAGTTTAGCACCACTCATTGCGAGGTTGATTGCCTACCTTATTTGATATAATTTAATTGGAACATGATTTGCACAGAGCATTTCTTAAAAATCAATAAAATTTTACTTCAAAATCCATATTTGTGTATATAACCAAGAAAATACTATAAGAATATAGTACAATTATAAAACGAAGTAAGTAGAATTCGAGAGGTGAATAGAGACAGAAGAGGTGTGAACAAACTAGGACATTTTTCATTGTCCCATCTATTTATTAACGCCTCTTCTATGTCTATTCACCTCTCGAAACCTATTCACCCCGTTATACCACACCTATGTACATTTAATTTATACATTTTATAAACAGCGTTAAAATTTTTAAGCCGATGAGTTACCAATGCTATGTACGCCATTATTGTCATATGCATCAACCATTACCATTATTTTGTTACTTTTGTGTGTTTTAAATGTTAAGGTAAGAATAAACTACAACATTTTCTGGAGCATTTCTGTGTAATGTAACGTTGTTACGAATGGTACAATTCAGGCAAAAGCTCAGTTACCAAGGCATTTCCATGTACCTAATGTAACGTTCCTGGGAATGCTCGGGGCGTTATGTTACGGGTAAATGCTGCGAGTGTACATTTACCAACATTCCGTTGTACCTTGTGTTCATTCTTTTTAGAAATGTCGGACCTACGAGTTGCGTGTGCTGCGTTTATCTGCAACGTCACCACGCAATCGCGCACTCGATGCTCGACGAAATGTTACTCCAATACGCTTGGTTTGTAACAATGAGGCCAGAGTGCTCGACGTTTAGTTCGTAAAAAAAATGATACACTAGAACATACCTATCATCAAGAGGCTCGTTGTTCTGTTACAAGTAAATGCTGTAGTCTATACTCACCTTTAATGTTTGTCATGTGGCATAACTCCTTTGAATAAATATATAAATAAATCTGGCTACAATTGTTTTGTGATTGTTCGTATGTTTGTATTTAATTCCACTACAGTTTCTACAGGGCTTGGTAAACCTGAGACAAGGACATTAGAAATGGAATAAATAGTTGTCGAGTTATGATTTAACAATAAATGTTCTTGTTAAACTGACTCAGACTTTTTTTATATTATATTTGTACTGGAGCACACTAGATATGGTTTAAACAGTTTATTGAACCTCTCAAACATTTCCACTTAACTTCAGTCACCAATTCAAATAGCACATTTTAGTTGCACTACGCTAGCCAGAAAACGCGCGCAGCATGTGAATAGCATCGCTAAATGTTTGCTCAAGTAGCATAGGCACAATGGCAAATTTTTTTCAAGTTCAAAGGAATTGAAAGACTAGATAAATTACTAAACTAAAAATTCTGATCTTTTTTTTTTGAGGGGGGAAAATCATCCAATGACTTCTCCCGCCCGGGTGAGGCGGGAGGGAGTGTCAGACTCTTACTGACTAAAAACCACCCCGTTCCTACTCCTGCACTTCGAGCCGGAGCCCCGGCAACCCGTTAAGTCTTCCGCGGCTCCGTATCGGCATCAGCCCTGTTAGGCCCCATCTGTGGTGGTCTGATGGCTCCTTGAGGCGCGCGCGGAACGCGACGCGCCGTACGCTCGGGCCTGGTTCTGGTCGGGCGGCGAGTCACCCGTGCTCGCCGTCCGCAGGCCCGTGCTTACGGTGGCCGGAGATCGTCTCGCGATCCCCGACGCCCGGAGTGTCTCTCGCGACGGCCGGGTCGTGAGGAGGTTCGTTCCCTCACGCGCTCCGCCTCCTCCTTAGCTAGCATGACTGCTTCGCAGAAGGAGGAGACGGCATCCCAGTCCCCCTCGCTCCGTACCATGGTCTGAACCAGAGCCGGATGCGAGAGGTCGCCGTCGCCGATCACATTCCTGAGGACACGGCGGTGCTCAGTCCACGCAGGACACACCGCCACCGTATGCTCCACCGTGTCCTCCGGGCGATCCTCGCAGTGATGACACCCGGGCGTTTCCTCCCGCCCAATCCGAAACAGGAACCTACCGAAACTTCCGTGTCCGGTAAGCACCTGCGTCAGGCGGTAGGTGAGGACGCCGTAGCGTCTCTCAAGCCACTCCTCAAAGAGGGGACTTACCGCTGCAATGACAGCGAAAAATTCTGATCTAGATTCTACTTAGAATACATTATTATAATTTGTTGTTAAATCCACCATTGGAAAATTAAACATGTTAAATACCAAACGTCACCATGCTTATGCCAAGCGAGTATCTTAATGCTAATCAGTCATTAAAAATATAGTAAATTCATCTATGACAATTAATTATAAAGACATCCTTGTCTGTACTAAGTACATACTTATAAATACAAGATGACCCTGAAAGTATGGATCAAATCGAATAGGGGCATAGAGGTCATTCCCTAACTTTTTGCTCTGGAAATAGAAGATTCTTATTGGTTTGTACCGTTAAGAATCTTCTATTTCCAGTTATAACCAGTTTTTGTTTTGTTCAGTGATTTCCCAGCATAATAAAAAAAGCTTGAAATGAAAACGTTACCTACATTTCCAAATTATAGTTCCCAATGATCCATACTTCCTTATCGTCTTACACTCGTACCCTTTGACGAGGAACTCTACTAGTTTCGTCATGCTATAGAGGCTCATATGCATGAGCAGCATTCTCATGCTGCTTGCCCGCTACTCATATTACATAGCATGGCTTGAAACTATGTAGTAAGCCGTTAAAACATAATAATTAATTTAGTATGACTCACGTAAGTTATAATTGAAATTTATTGTGTATAATTTCATACTTTACATACACAAACGCGGAATAATAAAATTAACTTAATAACGTTTTAGAAATATTCTTAAACCATAGACATTACGCTCAATAACAGGAGTAGTCCACTGACTAGCTTGCCACAGCATAGCTTGCTTATTGCATAGACTTCTTATAAATATATTATTTCGCCCAGCTCCCCTACATTATTTTATTCCTCCATCATCATATCAGCCATACTGCTGAAGATAGGCCTCCCTCAATGACTTCCAGACAGGTTGGTGGGAAGCGACCTGCATCCAGCAGCTCCCTGCGACCTTAAAGCTGTCGTCTGTCCACCTTGAGGATGGACGTCCAACGCTGCGCTTACCTTTTATTGCTTAACTACGTAGGTATATTATAATGTACTTATTCTTTATCTGCAATAGTTATATTTACTATTTCCAGTGTGGTTGGGTCTGTGAGAACATCGATGCGTCGAGCTTGTTTCAATTCTGAAAATAAATAAGGAGGAGTGTTACATAAAATTATCTTTAAATATTGTTTAGGTAGTATCTGCTAGTAATTACAACCAATGTTATAAGGTCTTGGCTAGTTGCTAGGTCCTATTTGTCCAAATGGGAATTTCCTAGTATTCATGTAGGTACTGCTAAGGTGTGGAATTCTTTGCCAGAGCCTGTATTTCCTTAACACCTTGAACGCCATGGGGGACAAGGTATGGGCTACGATAGCGGAGGATTTACCTTCAACAGTTTTCTGTCGGCAGTCAAACTGTTAGGGATATACAATCTGGGCCTTTAGCCAAGCGCCACTTTAGCGCTTGTCTACAGAGAGAGTAGAAATCAAAATGTATGGGGATGACACTGACAAGTGTCAAAATTTACGTCAATAGGGTAGACGACTAATTTTTATTTTAATGTCCGTCTGGTAGATTATTTTAAATCATTACACACGTATTTTTTATTTTCTTACAGAAACGAATACTTTCCACGATATATTGATTTGAAATGTCGTGTGACGTCACTTTTATGTACATTTTATACGTAGAAATGACGTTTTAGCCCCCACTCCTAAAGTTTGATTCGTTTTATCTAAGTATTGTTTTATTATACGACAAAATAAAAAAATACGTGTCTAATACTTTTTAAATACCTAACTTACGGACTAATTAGATTTTTAATTTTCATACCCTGTCGTCATCCCAATTCCATATAATTTGGTTTTCTATTCTACATGTAGACAAGCGCTAAATGGCATTTGGCTACAGCTGCTTGGTGTCTTCAAGACCCGAGTGAATAGGTTGATTATGGGACGACGTGCTCTGTCGTAGAACGCATCATCGCTTACCGCCAGGCGAGATATTGGTCAAACGTCGGCACAGCAAATAAAATAAAAAAAATCAAACCTTAGTAGTAAATTGACAGCTCCAATAGTACTTGCAAATAGGACTTTAAGGTATATTAGCGCTATTCAGTGAGCGCAGAAACGTTAGCTATCATTGTAACACCTATATAACA